CCTGCAGCATGGTTACCCCCAACTGCCCCACCTGCTGGCCTGGCAGCCCCCAACTGCCCCGCCTGCTGACTTGGTCGCCCCTTACGGCCCCCCCATGCTGGCCTGGTCACTTCTTACTGCCCCCCCTGCCGGCCTGATTGCCACCAACTGTGCCTCCTACTGGCCTGGTTGCCCCATGCAGCCTGCTGTTCAGTTGTTTTGTCGCCCCTCACTAACCCCCTCTGCTGGCCTGGTCGCCCCCAACTGCCCGCCCAGCCGGCCTGGTTGCTCCCAATTTCGCCCCCCGACAGCCTGGTTGCCCTCACTGCCTGCCTCTGCTGGCCTGTCATCCCTCACTGTCCCCCCTACCAGCCTGGTCACCCCACGCAGCCTGGTGTTCAGTTGTTTGGTCATCCCTCACCAACCCCCCTGCTGGCCTTGTCACCCCACTCAGCCTGATTGGTCGTCCATTTGGTTGTTTTGGATGTGACGGCCCCTGGGGCGCTCTCTCTCTCTCTCTCTCTCTCTCTCTCTCTCTCTATATATATATATATATATATATATTTTTTTTTTTCTTATCATGTACTTAAATCAATTTTTATCCATGATTACAATAAAGATGGATTCATAATTCTTTGTGGTGCTATTATTTACCTGCTATAGTGTCATAAATATTTAGAAAAAAGGATGTTCATGGCAGATTTCTTCATAATAAAGAAACATTGACTTAAACACCCAACAACAGGGTTAGGTGATGGGATACCATTTAAACTTGGAAAGACAAGGGCAGCATCTATCTTCTGTACATGGGGCATTAAAAATCTAAACCAGTGAACTGGTTGTGTTAGGGCAAATATCTTCAACTCAAAAATAAAGACCCCAAGCAGCAGGAGCCTGGAGGTAGGACTTGCAATAGTCTCCCAGCCACTCCGCTACCCTCACAGACATGTATCAACACTATTCAGCTGCACTGTTCACTGAGAAAGAGTTGGATAATTAGTTTCTCTATTTAGGCCAGAGTTAATGTAAAAGGAATAACACTGACAGAGAGCAGCATATGTCCTCAGGGAGGTCAGCAGGACATCAGTCCTAATGTCCCTCACGGCTGGGACTAGCACATAGCAGGCACTCACTAGATGGCTGCACTTGATGACGTGAAGTGTCTGGGAAACTGCAAATATGAAATGTAGGAGTTTAGCAGCCTAGCAGTTTGCATGGAGATACCTCATACAGCTGCAGGCAGATGGCGTCGATGAAGCCCACCTGCATACTTGGGATCTTGTTCTTCTTCTCCCTGTTCATGAGGTCCTGAAGCACAAACACAGGAGAGACACTCAGACCTGCAGCCACGGAAAGAGCACAGTGCTCATCCTGGGCCAGGGGAGGACGGGCTGGCACCTACTCACTGCCTCCTGACCTTTGCCAGCCTCCGGCACTGCCTGAGGCAGCACCCTCAGGAAGGCCCGATCCTCAGACTTCTGTCCTGGCGGTGACCTTCCCACATCACCCAGAACTAACCGCTGCCCTAGAGCTGACATTGCCCTAGAGCTGACACTCCTAGAGCTGACACTGCCCTAGAGCTGACACTGTCCTAGAGCTGAGACTGTACTAGAGCTGACACTCCTAGAGCTGACACTGTCCTAGAGCTGACACTGTCCTGGAGCTGACACTGTCCTAGAGCTGACACTCCTAGAGCTGACACTGCCCTAGAGCTGACACTCCTAGAGCTGACACTCCTAGAGCTGACACTGTCCTAGAGCTGACACTGTCCTAGAGCTGACACTGTCCTAGAGCTGACACTATACTAGAGCTGACACTCCTAGAGCTGACACTGCCCTAGAGCTGACACTGTCCTAGAGCTGACACTGTCCTGGAGCTGACACTGTCCTAGAGCTGACACTGTCCTGGAGCTGACACTTAGAGCTGACATTCCTAGAGCTGACACTGTCCTAGAACTGACAATCCTAGAGCTGACACTGTCCTAGAGCTGACACTGTCCTAGAGCTGACCACTGACTTGCATCCAACTACTGACCTAACATTCATTTCTGATGTAGAACCGACCGCTGATGTGTACTTGAAGGACACGCAAGCTGTGAACTGATTTCAGCTATGGATCTAACACCTTCTCTGTGGGAGGCACTGAGGCCACAGTGGGTACAACTCAGGTCAGGAGCCTCCGAGGGAGGTGCTGCTGCTACTTCGCCCAAGAGCTCGTGATGAGACCAGGTGAGCCAGCACCCGCGTGGGAAGCACCGCGTCTGTCTGGGGCTTTCAGTCAAGCACATCCTCCCTCGCTGTCACCACCACTCTGCCCACCACTTTCTATGGAGATTCTGAGCTTCAAACAGCCCGCCTCACACTGTGCAACTGGAAGAGACGAGTGAGACACAGCTTGGGCTCTTGTTAACCACGGCCCATTCACCATGGGCCCAATAAACGTCCATTGGAATTGGAAAAAATGACTCTATGCTTCATGTGCAGGAAAACTCGTTCCAAATGGTTCAAGGGGAATCTTTTTCTTATATTTGAGATCCATACCCTATGCAAAAGGAAGTATGTATTCAAAAAATCCTTCAAAATCCATGTGCCTTTCTGGGAATCCATCCTAACAGGATGATGGTCATGCTCAGCAACATAGATGGTTATCACGGTGCTGGGTGGGATGGTGAGCATCGCAAATATCCACCGAGGGACATGGGTAAGTGACGGTTAGATCTGTTTTATGTAACCATGATAAACAGTATTTGGAGGGTAGCATTGTTAGAATGAAAAGTAGCTGATGATACTTAAATGGAAAAAGCAAATTACAAAACAGTAGGTATAACAGGATGGGAAACAGAATGAGAAGCCGTGTTCCCAAGGAAAGACCTCACTGACACCTAAAGAGAAGTTCATAACAAAAAAGCTTTTGAGTCATTATTTAATAACTCCTAGCTATGGGCCTCATACTCACCGCAGGCTCTATGTTGAGTTCTCTTCTCTCTTTGTCTCCTTGGTCAAAGAATTCCGCCGCCACAAGCTCTGCGATCTGAAATAGACAGCACAGGGCATCTGGGGGTCACAGCCTTTTCTCTGAAAGAGACTGAAGTCCTGGATCTCCAAAGTTCAATGGCTCTTTGGAGTTTCAGATAAACAGCATTAGAATTCGTATCGGTTTTTCAAATGTTGATAGTTTATATAAATAGAACAAAGAATGTTTCCTGTATTTTTGACAGAAATCTTAAAAGTTACAATAGCATTTTCAATGCTTTCCAAATACAAGTCATCAATATAAGGACAAATAATTCACAAAACATAGGCTCGAAAGCAATTGAAAAGAGGAAAATATAAATATTTTATGTTGTATTATTAAAAAAGGGTAATCCTACATAGTTGTACCGTTTTATATGCTAAAACACCATAAAACTTTTAAAATGTGTCAATGTTATAAACTATAGAATTAGGAGTATTTATGATGTGTAAGTACATGGTAAAATATTGATAAAAATACCAAGTTATGAATTTTGCAAATAGAATATTACTTGTACCTCTCAAGACCATTCCTAACACTTTTACCCTACTACACCCGCACAAGTAACTGTGCCCTAAATTTTGTGTATTTCATTTATTATGTTACCATATGTGTGTAGGCATTGAAAAACAAATTGTTTGATTTTATCTATTTTTGAAATATATATGATTTTAAGCTAAAAATAAAAGGTACTAAAACCGGTTAGGTCTACAGCTTTCAAACACATCAGTACACTTAGGACCAGGCAGGAACGGGGAATGAAATTGTATCCCCTTTGCTTTCAATGTGTGCTGGTCACCAAGGTGGAGTCCGCACCCTCTCACTACGCAGAAAAAGCTGCCGTCACATCTTCAGCGCTTAGAGGGGAAAAGCAGGGAGCCCATGTGGGAGTGCAATCAGTGAGGCATCAGGCACAGGTTCCCCGGGCTGTGAATATACAGCAGGGAGGCGCATCCTTTGCACTCCATTCATGGGCCTTGTGGCTTTAACCTCCCGGGCCCTCCCTTCTCCTTCTAAGCCAGTGGTTCTCAATCTGTGGGTCGTGACCCCTGAAAATACATCCTGCATATCAGATATTTACATTACAATTCTAACAGTAGCAAAATTACAGTTATGAAGTAGCAACGAAAATAATTTTATGGTTGGGGGTCACCACAACATGAGGAACTGTATGAAAGGGTCACAGCATTAGGAAGGTTGAGAACCACTGCAAGCGCTTCCCTTATGATTTCTGTGGTTGTTCTTATTGAATATGTTGAATATGCTGGGTTTTGCTGCCTGCAGTTCCCATTGTCTAGGCTTTGCTGACTGCATCTCGGATGGATTGGGCACCTGTGCCGTTTCTGTCACTGGTGATGAGATGTGGAGCTGCGATGAGATTGAGATGGGATCTTTCTAACTTGCATCTTTGCTCAGAGGCAGCATCCTCCTGCCGTGGCTCCTAGCGAACGACTGGTTGACCCTTTTCGTGACCTTAGCAACTGCGGATGATCTCTGTCTACCTCCAGTGATGTAGGGGCTGCAAAGCTGACAGCCAACCAATCATTCCTTTCTGCTTTATTAGGTGAAATACAATGAAGAGAAAGTTAATTGGTTCCCCTAAAGCACCGCTGGCATAAAAAAGCAGGGGAAATGCTTGTTCCCCACTTTTGTTACCATTTTAAAACTAACTTGGTTCTCCCAAAGCATCCACCAAAGATGACCAGGCGAGGCTTTGTTTCCTTACCTTGATTATTACTTCAAACTCTGAAATTTAAACGTATTTAACGTATTCTGATCCCTCATGATGCTCAGATTGTCCCCTTTCAGCCAGTGGATGCTCAGTGCGCGGCTTCTCTGGTACCACCAGGACCCGCTCAGCCTGCACCTCCTCGCTCCCTGCTGCTCCAGGTCACCTGGTCACCTGCCAGGACCCATTTCCTGGCCGTCTCCTGCTTCAGCCCCAGGACCAGCCATTTCTCTCCGGAGCCCGCGCTCCTCTCCAGGGAGGTGTTCAGAAACCTCAGTGGCACCAGGTTTGCTCATTAACCACGGTGACCCATGTAAGCCCCGCGAGGGGGGCGAAGCTGGGGCACAACACAGGTTCCTACAAACTCTCATTCCCGGCGTCCACATCCCTGCCTGACTTTGTCCATGATCTTCATCACCACTTACTCCCAAATCCTACTTCTCAACACCCCATGGACTTTCATACCTGCTTCTACCCTCATCACCTACAACAGGGGCTGAACAGATACACAGCATCGCACTAACAATACCATCCCCGAGAGCAGCTTCCAGGGCTTGTTTTGATGAAGGTGTTGTTTTGAAGGCGCATCCTACTAGAGATACATGGTTTGGTTGTTGTGTAAATGTCACAACCCAAATCAGGTTCATGTTACTTTCAAGGCTGAGTGATGTTCAAAATTTAATCCTATATAATAGAAGCCTAATATGCTAAGTATCTGGTCATCCGTTCAACCAATCAAAACATAATATGCTAATGATATGCTAAGGCTGCTCAACCACTTGCTATGACATACACTGACCACCAGGGGGCAGATTCTCCAACCAGTAGGTTAGCTTGCTGCTGGGGTCCAGCCAATCGGGACTGAGCGAGAAGGGCCAGACACACCCTGGAGCCTTTCCTTGGTCCCTCCCTGGCCCTGACTGCGCACTGGTGGGGTCCCTCGGCCTGGCCTGCGCCCTCTCGCAATCCAGGACTCCTTGGAGGATGTCAGAGGGCCGGTTTTGGACTGATCTTGCAGGCCTGGCCCAGGGACCCCACTGGTACATGAATTTGTGCACTGGGCCTCTAGTTTTATTTTATAACTAGTGGCTGTGCGCACGAATCCATGCACGAGTAGCTTGCTGCCACTGCCTCAGCTGGCTGCCCCACCCACTGCTGCTCTTAGCTCTCCGCCGCACTTAGCTTGCTGCCCTGCCCTCCTGCAGCTCTCTGCCCACTGCCCTGCCCTCCTGTAGCTCTCCGCCACTCATAGCTCGCTGCCCTGTCCTCCTGTACTCTCTGCTGCTTGTAGCTCGCTGCCCTGCCCTCCTGTAGCTTTCCACTGCTCATAGTTTGCTGCCCCACCCTCCTGCTGATTGGACGTTACGCATCATGGCATAACGACCATTTGCATATACCTCTTTAATATATAGGACTAGAGGCCTGATGCATGAAATTCATGCACTTGGGGGGGGGCGGTCCTTCAGCCCAGCCTGCACCCTCTTGCAGTCTGGGAGCTGTCAGTCAGACATCCTTAGTGCTACCGAGGAGGCGGAAGAGGCTCCTGCCACCACCGCTGCACTCGCCAGCCGTGAGCTGGGCTTCTGGCTGAGCGGTGCTCTCCCTGTGGGAGCGCATTGACCATCAGGGGGCAGCCCTTGCATTGAGCGTCTGCCCCCTAGTGGTCAGTGCGCGTCATGGTGCCTGGTCGTTCCGCCATTCGGCCGATTTGCATATTAACCTTTTATTATATAGGAATATAAGCACTATTTATATGGTTCCAAAGTTAAATCTACAAAACAAGCCTAGCGAAGCAGCTCTGGCTAGCATCTCTGTTCCTCACCCCTCTCCCCTCCTTAACTTGCCTTGTGGTTAATCCTTGTTGTTTTTTTTTTTTATTCTCACTGCACCCTTGTGATCACTCCATGATGGTTACAGATGATGCTCAATTCCTGTCCCAGCCGCATGGAACTCGTGGTGTAAAGTACTCGGCTTACTAGTCAGTACCCTGGGGATGAACTTTGGGCCGACGCTCTATCCACTGAGCCAAACCAGCTAGGGCTCTTCTTTGTTTTTCAGAAGTTCTTTAATATTAGTAATATTAACTATCAGAAAGAACTTGCAAATATTTTTATCAGTGTATCATGGTCTTTTGCTTTGCTTATACTATCTTTTGCCATGCAGAAGTTCTTAATGTTTCCATTTGTATGGAATCAAATGTATTCATCTTTTCCTGTAATGCTTTTGCACGCTGAGCCACAGTCCAGAAGGTATTCCCATTCCTGGGCCGCAGAAGACTCCAGGGTTCGTATTTAGCACCCGGATGGCTTACTTCTCTGCACTGAGCTCTCTGCTCCACACAGACCTTACCTTTGCAGACTGGATCCCACTCTGTCTCTCGCTATCTGGCTGTGGAGACAGGGAAGACATCCTCACACTATTTAAGTCTGCCCTTGCCCGGTTATTTTAAATGCCAGCTCTACTGTCCACTGAGTGTTCTGCGCGATGTCTAATGTTCTATGGACTCCGTGTCTGTCGCCCTCACCACCTGCTTTGATTACAGAGCTCTTACAGTGTTGCTTTGTAGGTCCAGACCCAGCCTCACCACTCTGTCTTCCCAGGTCTGATGTGGAAGAAAGAAAAGGGAAATGAAAAAAAAAAACCCAAAAAACTGAGAGAAACCAAGATGGCGGCATAGGTAAACACCGGAGTTTGCTGCCTCGAACAACCACTTCAAAAATACAACTAAAAGACGGAACAGACATCATCCAGAACCACAGGAAGGCTGGCTGAGTGGAAATTCTACAACTAGAAGGAAAGAGAAAAGCATACCGAGACTCAGAGAAGGTGCAATGCGGAAGTAAAATACTGAGGTGCAGAGGTGCATGTGGAGCGGGCTGGCGGCTGAGGGCTCAGTTGTCGTTTTCAATCGGGAGGGAGTCTCAGGCTCTGAGCTCCAGTTCCTGGCAAGTCTCTAGGGACCCAGACTCATACGGGAGAAGCAGAACTGTCTGGCATCGTTTGGAACCCGAGGGCAGCTTTCTCTCTGAGGGGCTTGCAGTGATTACCCAGACACTAAGAAGCAGAGCCTCTGAGGGCAAGTCTGAGAGCAGCCATAACTGCTAGCCCCGCCCTGTTGATCCCGTGGGTCCCACCCTGCCCTAGCCCTGCAGGGAGGCTTTTGCTGGATAGCCGCAGGCAAAGGCTAGATTAGCACCTCCCTAGAGATCCAGGAGCCAGGAAGCCCAGAGGTCAGAGTGGGACCATCCAGTTTGCAGCTCCCTGGAAACATAAAGGACACACTCAGGGGGCAGATTCAGTGAGCACCAAAGCCCCACTGAAGCAAGTCTTGCCCCAGAGGGGTATCTCCAGCACAGAAGTTCTCCCACTGCAGACACAGCTGATTCTCACAGCCAATTGGCCTGGAGGTCAATTCCTCCCAGTGATAACTACAACAATCAAGGCTTAACTACAACAAGATTGTGCACAAAGCCCACAAGGGGGTGCACCAAAGGTGTCCTCCTCAGGTAATTGGGGAGGCTGAACCACTGAGGACACTCAGCACAGAAAACCACTTTATCAACACAGGGAAGCATAAAAAATGCCGAGACAAAGAAACAGGACACAAACGAAAGAAATGGAGGAAAGCAAACTGCTGGATATAGAATTCAAAACCACACTTTTAAGGTCTTTAAAGAACTGTCTAGAAGCTGCCAATAAATACAGTGAGATCCTCAAGAAATCTAGTGAGACCCTCGATGTTGTGATAAAGAACCAACTAGAAATTAAGCATACACTGACTGAAATAAATATTATACAGACTCCTAACAGCAGACCAGAGGATCGCACGAATCAAGTCAAAGATTTGAAATACGAAGAAGCAAAAAACACCCAACCAGAAAAGCAAAATGAAAAAAGAATCCCAAAATACGAAGATAGTGTAAGGAGCCTCTGGGACAGCTTCAAGCGTACCAACATCCGAATTACAGGGGTGCCAGAAGAAGAGAGAGAGCAAGATATTGAAAACCTATTTGAAGAAATAATGACAGAAAACTTCCCCTACCTGGTGAAAGAAATAGACTTACAAGTCCAGGAAGCGCAGAGAACCCCAAACAAAAGGAATCCAAAGAGGACCACACCAAGACACATCATAATTAAAATGCCAAGAGCAAAAGACAAAGAGAGTATCCTAAAAGCAGCAAGAGAAAGAAAGTCAGTTACCTACAAGGGAGTACCCATACAACTGTCAGCTGATTTCTCAACAGAAACTTTGCAGGCCAGAAGGGAGTGGCAAGAAATATTCAAAGTGATCAACAGCAAGAACCTACAACCAAGATTACTTTATCCAGCAAAGCTATCATTCAGAAGTGAAGGTCAGATAAAGAGCTTCACAGATAAGGAAAAGCTAAAGGAGTTCATCACCACCAAACCAGTATTATATGAAATGCTGCAAGGTATCCTTTAAGAAGAGGAAGAAGAAGAAAAAGGTAAAGATACAAATTATGAACAACAAATACACATCTATCAACAAGTGAATCTAAAAATCAAGTGAATAAATAATCTGATGAACAGTATGAACTGGTGATTATAATAGAATCAGGGACATAGAAAGGGAATGGACTGACTATTCTTGCGGGGGGAAGGGGTGTGGGGGATGTGGGAAGAGATTGGACAATAATCGTGCACCTATGGATGAGGACAGTGGGTGGGGAGTGAGGGCGGAGGGAGGGGTGGGAACTGGGTGGAGGGCAGTTATGGTAGGAAAAAAGAGGAACCAATGTAATAATCTGAACAATAAAGATTTAATTAAAAAAATAAATAAAACCTCTTATGATTTTTATCAGAAAAAAAAGAAAAGAAAATGCCGACCCTTCCCTGTTCCACTGTTAAAGGGATGCGTTAAAACCATCGCTAAGCTAACCAGAAGTGGTACTTACCAAAGTCAAACTTACCAACCGTGAGGTGTCCTCCTCCTTCACATACCTCACAAGTCTCATTAAGTGCTAATGAATCTTCCATGAAGAACACTTATGTCCAACTGCCTGCTTTACATGCCACTTAAAAATGACATCATAATTTCCACTAATATGCCAGAAGCTGCCATGGAGAGTGAAGACATTCCTGACTTTGATTTTTAAGGGTTAATTGCCCGTCAGTAAGTGACGTACCCGTTGCTGAATGGGCCAGGGCTTCGTGATGGCAGAGAGGTCACACGCGGTCATCAGCATTGCCCTGCAGGGGGGAGGGGGAGGGGAGAAGACCAGCAGCCCCGTTAGCTCTGAGCAGCACCTGCCCTCAGCAACAGCTCCCACCGAAAGGCGAAGTCAAAAAGCTCTACCCAGGAACGGCAGTTTATAAAGATGAAGAAACAGGATTTACACAGAAATGTGACTGATCCCGGTGGATCAGAGGGTCACTGTTTTGGTTACCCAGTGAAAGACTGGAATTTTCCCTAAAACCACCTCTGTTAGCCCCAGAGGGCAAAGGAGAGAAATCATTGCCATTGGGCAAATCATGCCCTTTCTATCATTATTTCCACCTGGGTATTCCATTCTTAGTGATCACGTGAAGAAAACACACTGATGACTAATGAAAAGCCATTGAATGGCAACAATACTACTGCAACACACCACTCTGGCAACACACCCCACTGGCAACAAACCCCACTTGCACATACCCCACAAGCAAACACCCCACTTGCACACACCCCACTGGCAGCACACCCCAATGTCAAACTCGACTCGAAGCACTTCCAACTGTAAACACACTCTACT